ACGACGGGATGCAACCTAGAGAGACCCTTTTCAATGGATTCGGTGTCTCTTAGATGGTAGTTGATAAAGACGTTCTGCGTTCTCCAGAAGCCTGCCCTCCATGTGTGCTAGCACTAGCGAGTTAGCCATCGCACAGACCTCATGCGCTCATACTTGGTGTCTCTTGCGAGCTCTTGTATCGAAGAATATAAAGTATTAGACCTCTTAATACAGTCGCAGTAAACCACCTAGTTATGGAAGTTGGGGAGGCCAGCCCATTCTGCCTGCCTGGGCCATAACACAAAGATGTGTGCCTGGCACCCCATTCAAAATCCTTAGTACGGTTTGGTGGCAACTCCGTGCTCGAACCGGGTAGAGAAGCAATTCCTCCTGACCCTCCGGGCAGACAAAATTTGACAGCCAGGGGATGACGATCGGGTGAGGATCGTGTCCTGGGATTTGGTTCTGGGCGAGAAACTCGATTCATGTCTTTAGCACAACTTGATTGTCCACAACGGCGGTCCATCATCCGAGGACAATGCCCCCCCCCCCCAGCTCTGGCCGACGCCTACCTGAGGCAAGGGCCAGTAGGAAGACTATTTTCCACGTCAAAAATTTGAGTGGTGCTGATGGGAGAGGCTCAAAGAGTGGTCTGCTTAGAGCAAACAACAGCCGACGAGTCCCAGTTGGGCGGCTCCCTTGTATGGGGTCTTGGCGTCCGGAAAGCAGTAAATAGTCTCCTAATAATAGGACAACCCATGATAATATGCAGGTGTGCACCTGTCGAAGTTTTCACCGATGCCCGGTGAACGGGAAGAGAGGAAAGGCGTACACAACTAAGTGGGTCCATGGGGTGAGCAAAGTGACCCTGGCCCAGGCTCCTGGAGTCAGCAGGAGTGTTACGTACGTCGGGAGCTTGGCGTTCCGGGGTGCGGCAAACCCGTCCAACCTTGGACCGTCCCACAGCCGAAACAGCCTAGAGGCTACCCACTGGGGTATCAGCCACTCCGTGTTCAGGAGACGGAGCTGTACTGAAAGGGCGTCGCCAGACTGTTCCTTACCCCTGGAAGGTGGTGTGCGGTTAGCTCCACATTGTATTCCAGGCACCAAAGGAGGATTTGCTTCCACTAGGACTGACAACGATGGGGAAGGCGTCCCCCCTCCTTCTTGAAGGAGACCACCACTGCGTTGCCTGTGAGAAGCAGGACTCTGTGGTCTCAAACTACGGGTCAAAAGCGTGGTAGTGCTAAGTGCACTGCTCTCAGTTCGAGTCGGTTGATATGGTAGTCCCGAAACTAATGCGAGGGCCATATCCTTGGGCTTGTTGGTCCAATAGATGCGTTCCCCAACCCTGGGGGAGGCATCTGTTACCAGAGTCATACCTGCGGCGAGTGGGTCCAAAGGGCACCCCTGTCCAATGTTGGCCAGTGACGACCACCAGGGCAGGGCTTCCTTCACTTGGTCCGAGAACGAAACCCGCCTATCTAGTTCCCATAAGAGAGCTCAGAGTTATAACAAGCGTTATACTGGGCGGCTGCGTAGTGCGGCCTGGGGAACGACCCTTTGAACTGAGGTCATCATTCCGATGATCTGTATTAGTTCTCGGAGGGACACTGAGGGAACGCTGACTAGGCATTCGGCTAGGCTGCTTAGCATTAAGCAACACGCTCGATATGCCAAGCTTACCACTGTGTCAAAACTCCATGCCCAGGGACACCAACTGCGTGTTGGGTCGAGGTGGGACTTGCCGATTTACTAACGAGCCCAACTGGTGAAGTAAATACTGTGTTAGCCTGACGTGTTTGGCTATTAACCCATTGCCCGGGTTGTTAGTAACCAGTAGTCTGGGTGCGGATTGAGGTGTACCAACATCTGGTGAAGCGGCAGCGCTACCAGTTTCATCACTCGGGTGAACACATAGGGCGCTGTGCCTAACCCGAACAGGGGGGCACCCAAAATTTGAATACTTGGCCCAGTTGGGCAATTCGAAGGAGATGGGTGCATCGGTAGGCCTCGCTTAAGTCTAGTGGGGCTAGCCAGTCGAAATGGTGGATGGAGAGGAGAACCCTGAATGGTGTCTAGGTCCAAAACTGGACGCCCGCCACTTGTAGATTTGGTACTACGAACACATTTGGGTAAAGCCT